CGAGGGCACTGCCCTCCCCCACGTACCCCAGCCTGGCGGGGCAACTCCCCGCCCTCAGCATCCTCCCTGAGCGCGCAGGCCCACCCCACCCAGCGAATCTGGGTGGGCAGCCCAGCCGTGGGGAGGGATGGCCCAGGGGGCTGGGTTCTTGGCGGGCAGCCCAGCCGTGGGGAGGGATGGCCCAGGGGGCTGGGCTCTTGGCGGGCAGCCCAGACCCCCCATCCATAGGGCCCATGTGGGACACTCACGGCTTGCGCAGGGCCATGGTGAGCAGCGCATCGGGGCCCAGCTGGGCCAGAAAGGCCAGTGCCTCCAGGAGCTCCTCGGTGCCCCAGGTGCCAGGCTCCGGACTCAGCTCCCCCTCAGCAAAGCGGTAAAACTGGGCGTCCTTGTCCTGGAAATGCAGAGCATGGGGGCCCAGCTGGGCCAGAAAGGCCAGTGCCTCCAGGAGCTCCTCGGTGCCCCAGGTGCCAGGCTCCGGACTCAGCTCCCCCTCAGCAAAGCGGTAAAACTGGGCGTCCTTGTCCTGGAAATGCCACTCCTGCCTCACTAGGACAGAGCCATGGGGCAGCGTCAGCCTGTGCCACCCCTGGAGCAGGGCCCCAGCCTGCCTGGCCAAGGGCCCAGCCCAACTCACGAGCTGCGGGGAGCCCAGGGGAGCAGGGGCAGCAGGAGCTGGACAGGAATGGGCGCCAGGGAGACGCGGGCACTGCCAGCGTGTGCCACCGTGGGGTGCAGCGGCAGGCCCATAGGCCTGCACCTGCACCCAGCATGGAGCCCAGCTAAGGAGCTTGGGCTTGGCAATGGTGTTAAGTCCAACATCCCATGGGACCCTCTCAGCTCTTGCCAACCCACCCCAGCAAGTCCTGGAACATCACATCCTGACAAACCCCATGTGGTTCCCAGCCCTGGCACCCCAGCTCAGCCCAACCTGCCCTGCCAGACCCCTGTTGCTCCAACCTTCACCCAGCATGGAGCCCAGCTAAGGAGCTTGGGCTTGGCAATGGTGTTAAGTCCAACATCCCATGGGACCCTCTCAGCTCTTGCCAACCCACCCCAGCAAGTCCTGGAACATCACATCCTGACAAACCCCATGTGGTTCCCAGCCCTGGCACCCCAGCTCAGCCCAACCTGCCCTGCCAGACCCCTGTTGCTCCAACCTTCACTCCTCCATCCACCAGCACCTGGCAAACCCCAATGGCCTGGCCCCGCGTTTGGGCCGAGAGCCCCGCGCTGAGCAGCCAGTCCACCAGCTCCTTCCCGGAGAGGCACTGCCTGCGGGGGAAGGGCAGCAGAGGGCGAGGTCAACCCGGGCTGGGGCGCGAGGCAGGAGAAAAGGGCAGGGTGGCTTTGTGTGGCATTTGTGGCATATTGGGGCTGCAGGACCGGACGGGCAGAGCTCGGGGCGGGGGCAGGGCTGAAACAGCAGGGGCCTGTGGCATAGGAAGGAGGGGCACTGGCAGAGCTGCAGTCAGGGAGGGACAACCCCAGGGCTGGGATAGCAGAGATTGTGGGCCAGGACTGAGGACTGAGCAGAGCAGGGGAATAGGGGGTAGGAGAAGCCCAGGCCTGGAACCGCAGGGGGCTGTGGGAAGGGATCAGGGGACACCATCAGAGCTGGGGGGGGTCCAAGGTGAGAATTGCAGGGGTAGTGGTTCAGGCTTGAGGGGCAGGAAGGGGAGACCCTGTGCAGGTATACCAGAGGCTGTGGGTCGGAAGGGCACAGCTGTGTGGGAAGGATGGGCAGGGCTGTGTGGGTCAGACTGGCAGAGCTATGGGAGTCAGAAGGACAGGGTTGTGTGGGTCAGACTGGCAGGGCTGTGTGGGTCAGACTGGCAGAGCTATGGGAGTCAGAAGGACAGGGTTGTGTGGGTCAGACTGGCAGGGCTGTGTGGGTCAGACTGGCAGAGCTATGGGAGTCAGAAGGACAGGGTTGTGTGGGTCAGACTGGCAGGGCTGTGTGGGTCAGACTGGCAGAGCTATGGGAGTCAGAAGGACAGGGTTGTGTGGGTCAGACTGGCAGGGCTGTGTGGGTCAGACTGGCAGAGCTATGGGAGTCAGAAGGACAGGGTTGTGTGGGTCAGACTGGCAGGGCTGTGTGGGTCAGACTGGCAGAGCTATGGGAGTCAGAAGGACAGGGTTGTGTGGGTCAGACTGGCAGGGCTGTGTGGGTCAGACTGGCAGAGCTATGGGAGTCAGAAGGACAGGGTTGTGTGGGTCAGACTGGCAGGGCTGTGTGGGTCAGACTGGCAGAGCTATGGGAGTCAGAAGGACAGGGTTGTGTGGGTCAGACTGGCAGGGCTGTGTGGGTCAGACTGGCAGAGCTATGGGAGTCAGAAGGACAGGGTTGTGTGGGTCAGACTGGCAGGGCTGTGTGGGTCAGACTGGCAGAGCTATGGGAGTCAGAAGGACAGGGTTGTGTGGGTCAGACTGGCAGGGCTGTGTGGGTCAGACTGGCAGAGCTATGGGGGTCAGAAGGACAGGGTTGTGTGGGTCAGACTGGCAGGGCTGTGTGGGTCAGACTGGCAAAGCTATGGGGGTTAGAAGGGCAGGGTTGTGTGGGTAAGACTGGCAGAGCTATGGGGGTTGGAAGGGCAGGGTTGTGTGGGGCAGGGCTGTGGGGAGGATGGGTGCTGTGGGGATCAGATAGGCATGGCTGGGGGGGTCGGACTGGTGGGTCTGTGAGCGGAAGGGCAGGGCTATGTCTACACTGCACTCTAAACTTGAAATAAGATATGCAAATTGCGAAGCTTATTTCAAGTTTATTTCACAATAAAGTGCTACTGTATTTCAAGACATCCCTTACCCCTCGTGGAATGAGGGTTACCAGGATGCCGAAATAGCATGCTCGTTATTTTGAAAAATATTTCAAAATAATAGGTGGCTTGTGAAGACACGGGTAGCTATTTCGGGATACCTTTGGTATCCTGAAATAACTTTGATGTGTAGACATAGCCCCAGGGTATGTCTACACTACAAGGTTTTTGCGGCAGAGAGTATGCTAATGACGGACTCATTAGCATGAGTCACGATGTCATTAGCATATTTTCTGCTGGTGCTTGTTGCGCAAGCGGTTTGTGCACAAAAAGCAGCGGTGCAGAGGTTAAATGGTGCCCCGCCAGGAGAGGCATAAGGATCTTGCGCAAAAGGGTTTTTTTGCACAAAACGGAAGTGGCTACCCTGCTTCTTTTTGGGCAAAAAGTATCAGCAGAAAATATGCTAATGACATCGTGACTCATGCTAATGAGTCCGTCATTAGCATATTCTGCCACAAAAACCTCGTAGTGTAGACAAAGCCTGGGAGCCCATGCCTGTCTCTCCCGTTCCCACTCTGGGGATGGGGCTGAGAGTCCCACCTGGATCTGGACCCAGGCCCACAGGAGCTGCCCTGCCAGATTCCCCTCTGGGAGGCCCTGCCAGGGCCATGGGGCAGGGTCTCCTACCTGTGGTGCCTGAGGTGGTGTTTGTGGTCGCGGATGAGGCCAGGACGGGTGCTCATGAGGTGGCTGTACAGGAGCTTCCCTGCTCGCCAGATCTTCTCTGCAGGTGCCTTGGGGACAAACAAGCATTGCCAGGCAGGAAGCTGAGCAGGGAACTGGGCACTTCCTCCCTAACCCTTCCCACCCCGGCCACTGGCACGGCTCGCTCTGCCACGCGGGCAGGGCCGGGCCTTCCCACCCCGGCCACTGGCACGGCTCGCTCTGCCACGCGGGCAGGGCCGGGCCTTCCCCCCCCGGCCACTGGCACGGCTTGCTCCGCCACACAGGCTGGGGCCCACCCCACCACACC